GTGCTTATTCTACTGAGCCATCTCCCTGGCCCCAGGAAGCCTTCTTTGACTAATCCTTCCTCAAGCACATGTCAGGGTCTTTTAGGTGGCTGTTCTGGTTTATATCCAAATGTCCCCAAAGAGGCTCCTGGGTTCACAGGTGGGCCTGTTGGGCGATGATGGGTTATGGCAGATCTGTGGTTAGGAGGTGGTGGTCTGGTTGGAGAACGTGACCTGCAAGGTTTTACCTCCCTGCAAGTCTCTTCACTGTTTCCTGGCTACCTTGACTGGAGCAGATTTTTCTGTCCCTCTGCCGTCCTGCTTGGGACCAGCAGACTATGGGGTAGAAACAGGAGCCAAAATAAACTCCTTAAATTGTGGGTATCGGATATTCTGTCCCAGCAATAAGAAAGGGACTAAGACAGGGGCTCACCCCTAACCAGGTTATGAGTATGGACCATATGCTTGATTCTGTTTCTAATTTCTCCTGCTGCTCTGTTCTAGATAGAAGCCCCAGGGGTGCGTGACATGGCTGAGCTCTTGAGCTGGCCCAGAGCAGCCTCACAAAGGGACAAACCCATTCATGCCTGCTCCTGAGCCTTCCCTGCCTGCTCCCAGAAGACCATGGGGCAGAAAAATAGAGACAAATAGAGGCAGCAGCTGCCAACCTTTTCCCGTGCTTGTGCTCCAAATGGTGTTTAGATACTTCCAGGAGCCTCACTGGGCTCTCAGGATACCACCGTGGTGGGTTTGTTACATTGTGTGTCAGATGAGGAAACCAGGAAACTAAGGAGGTAAGCAAAGCTCTCAGTGTATCAGGCATGAGCCTGGGCTTTGGAATCGTCAGCCTGCGCTCATGTCAGGCCCATTTCTTGCTCACTGCAACCTTAGCGTCATCTCCCCACCTGCAAGTGCTGATGGGATTCACTTCCCTGGGAGAAAAGCTCAGTGTGCAGCTCAGAGAAATTTCCACAAGCACTGACAGTCAGCATTTCAGACCGGAAGAAAGAAAGGAGGCAAAGAATATGCAATCTTCCCTTTTTATGAAAGTGGCTTCTTTATTTTGAGGACAGAAGATAAAACTATCAATTTGGGCAGATGCTCCAGTTTTGTCCAAAATAATTTATTTACCAGCCTTACAAAAAATATGTTGGCAAGAGAAAATAAGTCTTGTAGGAGCAGGCAAGCCTGTCCTTTCTTCTGGTGGCTTCCCTGGGACCCTGCCAGAGGGTGGGGGGAGGAGGGGACCCCAAGCTCAGCATAGGAAAGTAAAAGATCAGGAAGTGGAGGGCTATCCGGAGCCCTCCAGGCTGTGGTGGCCGACCCCGCAGGCACCGAGGCACTTGTGGGTAAAGGCTGGGTGGCCCCACCCCTTGGGCAGGGCAGAGGCTGCCCTTGGAGGATGGGGAAACTGAGAGCCAGTTAGGGGGTGGACTGGTGCTCAGTCAGTCTCAGAGGCAAGGCCCCTGGGCCGGGGCTGAGGGGGCACAGCCTGGGGAGTGGGGACCCCACCGACAGCCTCAAGGCCCCCCAGCTCCTCTGTATGCATTCTCAGTGCTTCCACCTGCACAGGTGAGCTCAAGGAGCCTGGGCCAGGGGAGGCTGGGTTGGAGGAGGCTGGGGAGCGTCGGCTCTGGCGTCGGGCAGGCTGAGGGGGAACAGGGGGTAAGGGGGGTGGCACTGTGGGGGCCCGGAGGCTGCTGCCTACCAGACGTCGTGGCAGAGCCCGGGGCGTCACAGGGCTGCCAGGGGGTGCGGGTGGGGCTGGAGGAGAGGAGCGGGTGCTGGAGAGCTGAGGGGGTGGCATGTTGGGCCGGGCTGGAGCGGGGCGCTTGGCTGTGAAGGAAGGAAAAGGGGACTGTAAACATCACGAGCCTGTGGCGCATCCACTGAGCTTGGCTCCACCCCAGGATCTCTGCGTACGCCATCCCTGCTGTGGCAGCCACCTGCCACAGCCAGCTGCTCCTCAGGAGGCCTCCCTGCAGGAGCTATACCCCTCATGGCAGTGCACACCCTTTCTTTACAGGCCTTGCTCTCTGAAAGGACCACATCCACTTTCTCTCACTTGCTCATTGCTTGTCTCCCTCAGGACAACACAAAGCGAGCGAGGCCAGAGTGTGCTGGGCATACAGCAGGTCTCCGTACCCACATGAGCGAGCAGGCGGTGCCTATCCCTGCAGACCCCCCCCCCCCCGCGGGTCCTGCTCGCCTCCCTCAGAAGCCCACTGCAGCCACCCTATCCCAGCTCCCAAAGATCCAACCCCAGAGGTAGCTTAGGTCTGGACTACAGCCCTAGCTCCACCTGCTGGAGATCTGAGGTGACTCCCTTGCCCCTGCCTGTCTCATTAGTAAGATGGGGTGACAGCGCTTTGAGCACATGCCCTCCCTGCCTGCCTCCTCCAAGAAGCGCCCTCTATGGCCCACCTGCTCCTGCAGCAACCCTGCACTGTGTGCCCCGGTGGTAACTCCAGGGTCCCAAGGCTGGTTGGCCTCCCGAGGGTACCAGTCACCCTGCTGACACTCCCTGCCCTGCTCACCTGCACTCACCTCTTCCTGTCCCCTCAGCCCTCTGTGACCTCTGGGCTTCTCTGGCCTGGGACACCCAGGCTCTCGCTTTGGTGGCCCTGGAGTTCCACCCTCCCCTGCACAGTGCTTCTCTAGAGCCCTTCCAGGCAAATCCAGGGTACCATCCCACCCCATAGGGCAGCAAGCTAGGACTGGGCTGGTGACATCACCTGCCCATAGCCACAGAGCTGAATCTGAACCACAGTGCCCAGAGACAAAGCCTGGCCTTCTAACCACCTCTGCTGTGGCCTCCCCTAGTGGGCCACAGGATGGGTGGCCTAGGATCACTTCCCACCTGCCCTGTGCCCTTCTGTGCTCCCACAGCCAACTCACTCCTCCGGGCCGTGTCCTCTGTCAGGGTGACTGTCTCCGAGGGGCTCCTGTTAACCATGGGTGAGACTGGTCTGGGTGGTACTTCGGACTCTGTCCTGTGAGGGGAGGAGAGCAGAGGGGCAAGGGCAGGCTTGGTCAACTAGAGGCCACCTGTAACCTTGAGGAGATTCGCAGGTCCCTGCTTCCCAGGAAGGCCTTTCCTGTAGCTCCTACTTCGCCTGCATCCTGCCTCAGCCTCCTGCAGGGTGCCTCTGGTTCCCCGACATCACAGATGCCTCTAGGGACATGTTGGGCTTTCCACAACCCTGCGATGCCACTCAAGGAACAGCACCTGTTTGCCTGCCTCATCACAGTGTGAGCCACACAGTCTGTGGTAACTGCACAATTCCTGCTTGGTGCGGAAGTAACACCACCTCAACAAGCCCTTTTGGACTTAAAAGGGAAAAGACTGAAAGTTGTTTACAAATTCCAAAAGGCCCCCTCCCAGCTCCCTAAATCTGCAGGGCTTGAAACAGGACCTGGCACATAGTAGGTGCTCAGTTAATCACCACATAAAGACCAAGGGGCCATTTCTAAGGCTGAGCAGGGCACCACCCCCAGGCCCTGCATGGGAAATGGGAAG